CTGTGACAGCTTGCACCTGAATTTATTGGTAGATAAATCAACGTTAAAGATTCACTATAGTTAACAGAGAGCCAAAATTTCAGTTGTGGGTCCATATTGTTAAGTCGAAGTAATATTTGTGCTCTGAAGAACTTGTATAATAAAACAAGGCAGGGAACAAGGTATTACCAATTTCCACGGAAAATCTTAGGGTTTTGCCACAAGCATGTGGAATGGTGTTAAGAGCGTTCCTTCCTTTGACCCACTCAAGTATGTATTTAGAGGTGGAAAATAACAATGTGGCTAGCTCTGGTAAAGAAATAATGACATCTATAGCCAGCTATCTTCTCTCTTTTCGCTCCTGCCTCTCTCTAGCTAAAAATTGTTCCTTGTCTCAAATTTTGTTCATATTGCTTCCTCGCAAATATTCATGGTGAAACATAGACAACCATAATCATACAACTAAGCATCAGCCCCTATGGAATGACTTCCATCCCAATTTTTCATCACTTAGGCACGGATCTCTTTCATTCCAGCCCAGGAAAGAAACATCCAAATGGCAAACCTAAAGCGGAGGTCGAATATCAATGCAACCAACCACAAAGTGCATTCTAAGTTTGAGAGACAAAGCAAAATAAGGTTTTCCATAATCCATCTTAATTCGTCAAATCAGGATAACTAGTAGCACCTTGTTAAAATATTCAAAAAGCCAAAGAACATCATAACTTTCAGTATTAATAAATGAGATAACAAGATGAAGTACCTCAGCACTGTGATCCTTCAAAGTATGCTTACAGTCATAATTTCCATTTTCAGAGCTTTGCCACACACGTACTGTCTGCAAAGGTCAACTGCAGAAGTTCAATAGAACATGGAAGGCAAAAAAAATACATGCACCAGTTATGCAATTGAACTTCAAGCAATAACAGCATTTAACTTACCCATCTAAATTGATAAGTAACATCTGAAACTAAAGCTGTTCTTATGTTTCATATGTACCACTTTTCAATCCTACCTCAACCAGATCTTAACCTAGAAATGAAGGACAAAGGAATCACTAACGAACACACAAGTTTGACCAACATGCCCTTTATCTTTATTTAGCATTCTGTTCTTTAAAGCATATCAAATAGTATAATTTTGTGGCAAAGCAAATTGTCACCAAATATTTCGGATTTAAAGAGATTCTGTACTTTCACAGTTAAATCTTGGATACCATGTATTTCTATATCCTTCATAAGTAAACCCACGTTTCATTAATTCCAAACAACTATTACCGACCCATACCACCATATGGTAGGAAACACTGGGAGAAGTAAATGTTCTAAATGACAAAGAAGAAGATGAAGTGGACTATCAATGAGAATACGATCATGACAACTGAATCCAAAAAACAACACACAGGAAAGGAACAAGTCAATTGCAACTTCCGATCAAACAGAGTCAAACAGGTTTACCTTATCTGCAGAGCCAGTAACTACTAGTTCACCCTCAGCAGCAAATCTGATACTGGTAACCTAAAAAAGAAGAATATGAGCCACAAATTCGTTGCGGGTAAGGTTAATGAATAAATAAGTATTAATCAGGATATCAGAAAAGGAGGATATCATGAATCAGACATTCTTGCTTGGAATAAAATAATGATGTATTGGAAAAAGATAACAGACCCTCTTTGAGTGACCACTTAGTGTCGATACAATCTGCCCTGAAGGCCGATCAAAGATCACAGCATTTGAATCAACTCCACCAGTAGCAATGATGTCCTAATAGATAGGCAAAAAAAAAAAAAATTGAGCTACCAATATTAAGTTTGGTGATACATCTTCTACATGAAAGAAGACATAACCATTAACCGAGATAACAAGATGCAAATGCAGTGTCTGATAAGTGACAGCACTTTGACACCAATACAGTGTGACTATATTTTTTGGTAAAGCACAATGCATATATTTAAATCTGACAATAAATTTATCATGAGCAATTAAATGTGTGAAGATTCTACAACAGGGAACATCCTCGAAAAGTATGCAGAAGTCCTAGCACCAGACTAAACCTACCCATTAAAAATAAATATAGTACAGTTTACCAGTAAAGTATTTTTGCTCATTGACCACAATGCTTTTAGCTTGATAGAATCCAAGAGGTAATCCTTAGATCTACATTTTGTTCCTAATAAAAGGTTAGTGACCTGTGATTAAGCAGGAATACAGCAATAACATTGGCTATCAAGATATCATTAGCTTTTCTACTTCAGATTTACTACTTACATCCCTCTTAGACGGACATATGGAGTCTATCAGATGGCGCACCTCTAGAAAAGAGGAGCCATGTTTGAGAATGTACAGAAGGGTAATAGATTTGCGAGTTGCACAAAAATCATAAGCATTTCCGGTTTCGTACATTTAAAATGAAATTGTGAACTCAGGCAACTAAACATGAAATGCAATCAAGCGTAGTAATACTTTTTCTTCTCAAGAAATGAGTTCTCCAGAACAATACTTGTGAGAAGGCACGGGAGAAAATATGATATATATTGATAGTGTGTAATGCAATACAAGAGGTGCTATTTATAGCTACTCTATACAAAGGGGATACTACTCCTATTCCAATGTGGGACAATTACATAGCTATCTCTAACACTCCCCCTCAAGCCGGAGCATACAAATCATATGTACCGAGCTTGTTACATATATAATCAATGCGAGGACCAGTGAGGGACTTGGTGAAAATATCTGCAAGTTGATCGTTCGATCTCACAAACTTGGTAGTAATATCTCCTGAAAGTATCTTTTCTCTGACGAAGTGAGAATCAATCTCAATGTGTTTAGTTCTCTTATGAAACACCGGATTTGATGCAATATGAAGTGCAGCTTGATTATCGCACACAAGTTCGCACGCAAGTTCCATCCGACTGATTTCACCAAATTTCAACTCCTTGAGCAATTGTTTGGTCCAGACTAGTTCACATGTTGCCATAGCCATTGCTCGATATTCTGCTTCTGCACTAGACCGAGCAACTACATTCTGTTTCTTACTTTTCCAGGACACCAAATTTCCTCCTACTAAAACACAATATCCAGACGTAGAACGTCTATCAGAAGGTGATCCTGCCCAATCAGCATCCGAGTACCCAACGATCTGCTCATGACCTCGATCCTCAAACAGTAATCCTTTGCCTGGAGCCGATTTTATATATCGGATAATGCGGACAACTGCATCCCAATGACTATCATATGGAGAATTCATAAACTGACTTACGACACTCACAGGATAAGAAATGTCGGGTCTAGTCACTGTGAGATAATTTAATTTACCAACCAGACGCCTATAGCTTGCAGGATCGCTAAGCGGCTCCCCCTGTCCAGGCAGAAGTTTAGAATTCGGATCCATCGGCGTGTCAACAGGTTTGTAACCTGTCATCCATGTTTCCTCAAGAATGTCTAAAACATATTTCCTTTGAGAAATAACAATACCTGAGCTAGATTGAGCAACCTCAATACCTAGAAAGTATTTCAATCTGCCTAGATCCTTAGTTTGAAAGTGCTGGAAGAGATGCTACTTCAGATTAGTAATATCATCCTGATCATTGCCCGTAATAACAATATCATCAACATAGACTACCAGATATATACATAGACTTGAAGCAGAGTGCCGATAAAACACAAAGTGATCAGCTTCACTACGAGTCATGCCAAACTCCTGGATAACCGTGCAGAACTTACCAAACCAGGCTCGAGGAGACTGCTTTAGACCATCAAGTGACCGACGCAAGCGACATACAAGGCCACGAGACTCCCCCTAAGCAACAAAACCGCGTGGTTGTTCCATATAAACCTCATCCTCAAGATCACCATGAAGAAAGGCATTCTTAATGTCCAACTGATAGAGGGGCCAATGACGAACCGCAGCCATGGATAGAAAAAGGCAAACTGATGCCACTTTAGCCACTGGAGAGAAGGTATCACTGTAATCTAGCCCAAATATTTGAGTGTATCCTTTGGCAACAAGACGTGCCTTAAGTCGATAAATCTGGTCATCGGGACCAACTTTGACTGCATAAACCCAACGACAACCAACGGTAGATTTGCCTGAAGGAAGAGGAACAAGCTCCCATGTACCACTTGTATGTAAAGCAGACATCTCGTCACTCATAGCATGTCGCCATCCTGGATGAGACAACGCTTCACCTGTAGACTTAGGGATGGAAACTGAAAACAATGAAGATATAAAAGCATAATGGGAAGATGACAGACGATGATAACTTAAACCAACATAATGAGGATTAGGGTTTAGTGTGGTCTGTATACCTTTTCGAAGTGCAATCGGTGTACTAGGAGCAGGATCCGCAGTAGGAGCCGTGTCAGGTGCAGGATGAGAACTAGATGGGCCTGATGTAGGGCGCGAACGACGATGATAAGTCAAGAGTGGTGTTCCTGTGGCTGGAGAACTAGGAGGGTAACACTGGACTCCTCAAAAGTTGGTATGGGCGAAACCTCTGTGGTCGAAGGTGGAGGAGGATTGATACTAAACTCCTCAAAAGTCGGTATAGGTAAGACCTCAGATATGTCATGGTGGTCAGCAGAAGTGACATCAGTTGTGAAGAAAGGTTTAGACTCGAAAAATGTGACGTCAGCTGACATAAGGTACCTATGAAGATCAGGTGAATAACAACGATATCCCTTCTGAACACGAGAATAACCAAGGAAGACACACTTGAGAGCACGAGGAGCTAACTTATCTTTCCCCGGGGCTAAGTTATGAACAAAAAATGTGCTCCCAAAAACCCGAGGTGGAAGAGGGTATAAGGCTAACTGGGGAAACAATATTGAATGTGAAATCTGATCCTTGATGGGAGATGAAGGCATCCTATTAATCAACTAACAAGTTGTGAGAACTACATCGCCCCAAAAATGCAGCGGAACACGAGACTCAATTAGAAGTGTGCGAGCAGTCTCAATAAGGTGCCTATTCTTTCTTTCTGCAACCCCATTTTGCTGAGGGATATAAGGACAAGATGCCTGATGAATAATTCCATGAGAAGACATAAACTGCTGAAACTGAGAAGATACATATTCTAAGGCATTATCACTGCGAAAAATGCGGATAGAGACACCAAATTGGTTTTTGATTTCAGCACAAAAACTCTGGAATATAAAGAATAACTCAGAACGATCTTTCATTAAGAAAAGCCAAGTACATCTTGAGTAATCATCAATAAAGCTAACAAAATAACAAAATCTCAAGGTTGAATTGACTCTACTAGGACACCATATATCAGAATGAACCAAGGAGAAAACAGACTCTGCATGACTCAACACTATGCGTAAAGGAAGCTCGGGTATGTTTCCCAAGCTGACACGACTCACAATCTAATGTAGACAAACTGGATAAACTAGGCACCATCTTCTGAAGTTTGGATAAACTCAGATGTCCTAAACGTACGTGGATTAGATCTAAAGGATCTATAACTAGACATGTTGTGGAAGGACTGAGCGAGTTAAGGTAGTAAAGACCTTGTGATTCACAACCTGTACCAATTGTCCGTCCCGTACTGGGGTCCTGCATAATAAAAGAATCATCAATAAATATACCACAATTGAGGGCACGAGTCAAACGACTAACAGATGCAAGACTAAAAGGACAACCAGGAACATAAAGAACAGAATCTAGGGTGATAGAAGACAATGGGTTGGCTTGTCCAACTCCTTATGCCTTAGTTTGACATTCATTGGCTAAAGTAACAATAGGAAGAGACTGTGAATATACAATATTCAACAAAAGTGATTTATTACCAGAGATGTGATCAGAAGCGCCTGAGTCCATGACCCATGGTCCAAGAGTACTAGACTGGGAAACACAAGCAAAAGAATTACCAGCAACAGAAGTATTAGTCTGGGCAACTGAAGCTACTTGTGGAGATGTCTACTTACTTGCTCGATACTGAAGGAGCTCATTATATTCTTCTTTAGATACAGAAAAGCCCTGGTTACCTGTAGTCTCGCTCTGAGCAACGTAGGCATTTTTGGGTGGACGGCCATTTAAGGAATAACACATTTCGCGAGTGTGTCCAAGTTTGTGACAATAAGAACACTTGGGTCTAGATCTCCCAAAACGACCGCCTCCTCGTCTATTCTCCATAGCTTGAGATGCCCGAACATCCACTGTCTGGGATGCAAGAACAGAGGAATCAAGTATCTGTGATGAAATCACTGGGTGACTTGGTGCTGCAGCAAGGCGAAGTAATCGAGAGAATAATTCATCAACTGTAGGGACAGTCGGACTCGCCAAAATCTGGTCTCGTACTGAATCAAGATCATGAGGAAGTCCAGCGAGTGTAAGAACTAGAAACATTTTCTGTCGCTGCTCTTGTTGTTTTGACACACTAGCAGAAACTGACATCAATGTCTCAAATTCCTCCATGACTGCCTGTACCTGACCCAAGTAAGTAGACATATCTAATTCTTGCTTCTTTAAGTTTGTCATCCGTGATATCACATCATAGAAGCGAGATATATCATTAGTGTATAACGTACGAGCCTTTGCCCAAACCAAATAACATGTCTGGAATGGCCGAAACAAAGGCATCAACTTAGAATCAATAGAACGCCACAAGATGCTACATAATTGAGCATCAATTTTTGCCCAAAGTGCTATCGCCTTTTCATCTCCTTCGCTAGACTGTTTAATTAGATGATCTTGCACACCTTGACTTTTACACCACAACTCAACAGATGAAGCCCAAGTTAAGTAGTTTGAACCTCCCATTAAAGGTTCCGAGGTAATCATAACATTAGAGTTTCCAGAACTCTTTTAGACCCAAAAACATCAATTCCCAAAGACATCTTGTAAATTATTACCAAATAAGAGAAATAATCAACTGTAATCCACTGAAAATAGAGTAAGGAACACTGAACCAGAATAGGAAACTACTGTAGCAGTTTGGAAAGTTACTGTAGCAGTCGGAAAGTTACTGTAGCTGCTAGAGAAATATTCAAAGTGGTCGGAATGAAATAAAAACAGTAGGGGTAAGATCGAAATTATCAAAAAACCCAACTGTTCTGAAGGAACTTTTTCGAAAAATGGCCGGAAGTCCACTTTTGAAATCACTATTCACGCCGGAAAAATATAAAAGTGGTCGGAATTTGGTGTAACCTGGATGGGTAGGCTCGGAATTGCAAGGGAAACAATCTGTCTTGAAGAGTCGTCGCCAAAAAATGGCCGGAAGGTGGCCCACGTGACGTCGGAACTTCGTCGGAAAATTTTCTTCGGACAGCTACAGTACCGCCAGGATTTTCACTGGGGTTTGGCCGCCAGACAGTGACTACTCTTGTGGTAGTGTTGGATTTTTTTTGCACAACACTGACCGAGACAAAGCAGACGCAAAACAACTTTGAAAGTCACCGGAAAAAGGGTTCCGGTGACTGATTTCACTTCACGGAATCGCTGAATTTATGCACAGCAATAAATCTCTCACGATAGCTCTGATACCATGTGAGAAAGCACCGGAGAAAATATGATATATATTGATATTGTGTGTAATGCAATACAAGAGGTGTTATTTATAGCCACTCTATACAAAGGGGATACTACTCCTATTCTAATGTGGGACAATTACATAGCTATCTCTAACAATACTGAACAGATATTAAGTGAACATCATATGCATACTTTTGAGAAGGTTAAGAATATAAATTACCAGCTCACTTTTAAGACCTTAGTCAAAGCACCTGATACTGTAAAACTTATTGCCTTGGACGAAGTCCAGTGAAAACTGCTGATATTCTTAAGATAAGCACTCACAATTCATGTAGAAACAAAGAAGCAACAAACCCTAGGCAACTGTACATAGCCAGAAGTTTTGTTAACAAAATGACTCATATATCCACTTCTGTAGTTCAGAGATACAATCATAATCAAAATGATCAGTTGCTCGGCGTCGTGTATGAACAAGAAAGGGATGCGAATAGATGAACAAGAATTGAAAAAGAATCAATAAAAATAGTCCAGATAAAGATGGACCCATACCTTAGGATAATGGATATCCAGAGACAAAATGCCTGGTTTGTTTGTTTTATGAAGAGGATAACTATTCAGCTGGGTATATCTTTCAACAGCATCAACCGGAGCCAATGTTGCAGGAATCTAGGTGGCAAACAAAAGTTGTATAATCATTTTGCATTCAAACTGGGGGAAAGCTAAATAACTCATATACTAGTGACTTTAAAATGTTCATACAATTAATTTAAAAGAGGAAAGCATATAAGCTAGAAGATGAGCGGGGAAAGAATAACACCATAACAACATCTTTCCGATTTATAGAGTTTTTTCCATAGCAGATATTACCTGTCGCCTTTTCCTTTGTTGTGAAAGAGCAGCATTACAATCTTGAAGCTCTTTAATAACATCGCCTGATATTCCTGGGCGAATTTTCTTACCACCAGGACCCATCTCCTCCTCCGCAGCAGCAGCTATTGATACAAGTTGATTACACAAATCAGCAAGTATGGAAAGAAAAATGGCATATTATAGACCTAACAGTAAAATTAAAAAAATCAAGGACCTCTTTTCCCATTGCTTAAAGCATCACCATTAGTTGCAGTTGTAGTTGCTGCCACGGGTACTTGTCTTTCAGCCTGTGCAAGCAATGCTCTTGCCTCGTCCCTTTCCTTTTTCAACCTAGCAATTACCCGGCATGCAGCATCATGCTGCCAAGAAAGGGCAGATACTTTCAGCAAAGAATACTTCTTTTCTATAAAGAGCAAAGAATGCAACAGATAGACATGCATGTCCATACAAGAGGCAAACAAGTAGGCAACAGAGGAATATGAAAGAAAGGGCTATATTTCAATCATAGAATATGAGAGAGAAAACATTTGAGATACAAAAGAGTACGATAAAAAATGAGAAATATGATTGAGCATTTTGATGTCGTAAAATCATTTGATTCATTCACAAAGACAGTGCTAAAAAGATATGGTAGGAAGGCTATCCATGAACCCCTATCAAGCCCAACAACCTATATAAACAAACAGGAATTCTTTATTTGCACCAAGACAATAAATGAGGAAAGGAGCTCTATAAATTCCTTAAGCTTGTCTCAATGCTTTGAAAGATGCTCTATATTATTATTACCTGATATAGAGCATGACTCAGCTCTTGCCTTGCAGTATGTAATTGTTGTTCCAATGCAAAATTGGATAGCATCAGACCATCCCACTCCTATAAGACAAAATAAAAACTATGATTTTAGACCCATCAATGTAAAATATAAAGATTTTTATATAGATATATAGCACTAAAAAGGAATCTAATATTACAGATCCGCGTTTGACTCCAACTACCAACCTCAACACAGAATTCTGTATAGTATACATGAAATTAAAATGTGCAAGATTTAAATTTCTATCAGATATTGCATACATGCTAACGGGAGTAACAATAAGAAAAGAAGAAAAAAAAAGACACAAGAAATAAAAAACTAAATAAAGTGATCTCGATTGTGCAACAAATGCTGCCTTTGAAAGGAGAAGGAAGAGGACATTAATCATTTGTTTCTTCACTGCAAGTACACAACACAGTTTTGGCATTTCGTTTTCAATTTTATATCATGGGTCTAAAGTGGTGCATGCCTGTTTCTACATTTTAGTTTCTTCAAAGTTGGCATAGGAAGGATCTACACAATGCCTCATCTCCTTATAGAGGCACAATTCCAGCTGCTACTTGGTGAGCCATTTGGAAGGAAAGTAACATTAGATTTAGACTTTCTAGCTCATTATACAACTTGTAATGGCCTCAATATTTTGGTTCTCCTCCCAGCATTACCTTTTTGTTGGTAATTCAATATAAGTTACACTTCACCTATCAAAAAAGACTGATTTCATACTACGCCTCACCTCAGAGTTTTTTTAATCTATTTATGTTGCAAGTAATGCATAGAAAACGGAAGCAGAAAATCTAGGATCAGAAATACATACTATCTGAAACATTCCCAACATCCCAGGAATACTGGCGGCCTGCACAGGTCGGGGCTTCACTATCTGCAAAAGGTCCCAAGTAAAGGAAGCTGCACTATAAAAGCCCATTTGACATCATATGGTACAGAAACTTCAAAATTGCTGTCAAACACTACAAGCAAATCATGCTAATAAACTTCAAATGGATTTGTACCTTGCCAGTTTTAACTGGAATAATGTCATCCATTGTCAGTGGCTCTCCAGTGACCGGACATTTACCATAATCCTATACGAACAAAAAGAAACGGAAAAATAGAAGGAACACACCAAGCAAACATGAGAAAATGCAAAATATTTGTCCCATAAATCAAATGTATTTATTAATGTTACTCCAAGTTCGCATCGTATTACATAACTACATCATACAAGAACGTATTAAAATTCCCGAAATCTAAACAATCATCTATACAAATCAGAATTTCATGTACACACCAAATATACAAGGTAGACAAAAGAGAATCCTTAATGCAACAATGAACTCTTGATTCTTGGCCCCTTCAAAAGTTTTCAATCTCTCTATATAATCCAAAAAAGAAAATACAAAAGGGTGCCATATTACAACAAATAAAATGAGAAAATGGAGCATATACCTAGAAATCATTAGACACCACATTAAACATATTTTGAAACAAAAATTATAATATTGTTTACTAAAAAACTAGGAAAACTTTCCAATGATCAAATTGAAAATTAAGGTGTAAATAATTTAATCGCTCTGTTCAGTTTTTTTCCTCCGAAAAGAAGCTGACTTGGCCCAAGTCAAAGATAGGGAACATCACATCAACCTACTCCTAGCTATCAAGATAACCTAGGTCAATTCTCTTAGTTCAGTAGGAGGGGCAGAGATGGAAGTTCGAAGAGATAGAGACCAATAAATTCCAAATTTGTGCTAATGGGTAGAAATGTAGAATCATCCAACCTAACAACATTCTTAGTCGCAATTACGTAATCATAACTTTGGGTTCTAATTTTATTTACATACAACCAAACAATCATTTTTTTAGGACGGTGGTATTCAGGCCAGTTTGTGCACACCTCAACTATTCCACCGGGTACCTGTATCTTATACCAGCAAAGATACCAGGTAACTACAATCAATCAATCATATTAAACTTTATAGACCAATATTACACTCAGTATGGGAGCTATATGAATTTTCTACTATTCACTCCGATCTTATCATGTCCATTTGGTTTTTATATTAAGCAACTCTATTTACTTTTGTGTTTATGATAGTGGTTTCCCGGCCAGCTTGCTTACACCTCAACTAATTCCATTTGTACCTGCTACTTCCTACCAGTACAAGTACCGAGTAACTATGTCCACCAAAAACTTAGACAGATAGGAATAACTACCTAGTATTTTTTACTCCATTGGGATTAGAACCTAAGACCTCATTTTAAGCCGTTCTCTTTACTAAGCACAAATAAAACCCTCCATTCATACACATTCTCAAATTCTAAACCTTTTTTACTTCAAATTTTACTTTAATGACTAAGATAAGCAACACAAAACAACTTCCACATAAATAAGAAAAAGAAGACCACATGAAAATATGTTCACGCACTAAACACATAGAGAGTAATAAAAAAAACTAACCGAGATGTGTCTTTCAATTAAACGCTTCTCAAAAATAAGTCCAGATTTCATTGACACTACTGGCACTTCCGGTACCTCACCGGAAACTGCACGTACAATTGAGAAAACATAGAAAACGATAAATCAGATATAAAAACATAAAAGCATATATTAAAGGTATGAAGAAAATGCATAAAGAGTACGTATAGAAGGGATTGGGAGTTACTTGAACAGTTCATTGTTGAAAATTGAGAGCTAGGGTTTTGGATTGAGAGCTGAGTTTCTAGTTCGCCGTGAGCAGAAGCAAGAGCAGCTGATGAGCAGTGACAGCTAAAGAGGGAAAAAAATCAAAATTTGAGGGTAT